ACAACCTCGGTGCCAGAGGTCATCCGACCTCTCTGACCTTCAGATCCACGAAGAGGGTCTTCCAAGGGGTGAGGTGTCACGATCTGTGCTGCATAACCATCTCTGCTGAGTGTTTTACAGGTGGGTGTGTCTGGAGAGCCCAGCTGTGCCAAATCAGCTCATCAGCGATCAGGGGATTTAAGGAGCAGCTGGACATCTCACCATTGCCAGATGATACTCAGTCTTGGGTAGTTTCTAGCTCTCCTTTTGACCGTCCTAAAACAATTTTAGAATTACTTTGTCTATTTGTTCCTGCCCTTCTGGCAGTTAACCTGCTCTGCCCTCCTGATTCCTCCAGGTTCCAGTCATCTGTTCATCTCCACTCTCTGCTATATCTTTGGAACCATCTACCACATTCCAGTCCTGCTGTTTGCCCCTGATCGCCAGCTCTCCATCACCCCACCTATCCACCTGCAGCTCCTCGGTCTCCCCATCCAGCCAGGTCTGACTAACCCCCCCCCACCCCCCCCACCCCCACACAAAATACCGGATCATTCAGGAAACAGTAAGCCTTCTTATTTTTTCATCATCGTCTCACGTTGCTCCAGACTCTGACCTCTCTTCCTCTCTCAGACCCCACGGATCCCTCCAGTCCTGCAGAAGCTTCGGCTACCTCTCCCATTCAAAATAAATCATTTAAACTTACCTTCTGTCTCTCGGTGGTGATTCTTCATGTCGTGGGTCAAGAAATTACCCTCAAACATGACAGAATCATCTGGCCAAACTCCTGACCCCGCTGTCGAATCACTACCATCTGTTATATCCACAGCTTTCGCCCAACATGAACAATCCATACAGACTCTCCTCGAACATCAAGCCAACACTAACCAACGTTTGTTCCAGTTAGACTCCAGATTAAGGGAACTAAATGAAAAGCTATCTGTTCCGGCTGCTTCAGTTTCTCCACCTCCACCTCAACTACCTCCGGTTCAGCCTGGTCAGTCTACACATTGGCACTTCCGGGTTGCAGACTCGCCTCCTCCCGATACCTTCTCCGGTGAGTCCGGCAAAATACGTTGTTTTCTTCTCCAATGCATGTTAGCGTTTGAAAGAACCCCAGAAGCATTTATTAGTGATCCTGCAAAAATTTCTTACATTGTCGGTCTGCTCCGAGGTCGTGCCTTACAGTGGGCTGAGGCAAAAAGTCGGGAACCTAGTTTCCTTAGAGGTTCCTTAGACAACTTCCTCGTAGATTTTAATAGAACTTTTGGTAAATCAGAGACACCCTCAGAAATAGCCCGGGCCATTTGGAATCTGAAGCAAGAGAAGCAAACTGTTTCAGACTTTGCAGTTGAATTCAGAACATTAGCTATCACTTCTATTATGGATGAGGAGTCATTAAAAGGAGCTTTTACTCAAGCCCTCCACGACAAAATCCAGGACCAACTAGCCCTGTGTCCTGAACCTGGCACTCTGGAGGATCTTATCACTCTAGCTATTCGCATTGAGAAAAGAATCAAGACCCGTCCCAGGTCTGCTTTGCCCAGTTATCATACCCATCAGACCGCTCGTTCCACTATTCCTCCAGCTCTGCCGTCTGCTTTTGCTTCTGCCTCAATTCCCCCAGAGGTTCCCATGCAGATAGGCCGGGCTAGTCTGACCCCAGAAGAGAGACAACGTCGCATCTCCTCCCAACTGTGTCTGTACTGTGGTTTGTCTGGTCACTTTCTACCTAACTGTCCAATTCGCCCAAAAGGGAGAGCCCACCAGTAAGTCCGGGAGTTCTGGTGGGTAGCAGCACTAACAAAGAAGCCTCCCGGTGTGTATTGACCTGCTCTGTTTTTTTTAATCAGCTGCCTTTTTTAACTACAGCCCTGCTTGACTCTGGTTGTGAGAGGAATCTTCTAGATCAGTCTGTCGTCACTAAACTGAGAATTCCAACGACACCTCTTCTCACTCCAGTTCAGGTTTCATCATTGGATGGCAACGCGCTCACTACCATCACCCACCGAACAGAGCCTGTCAAGTTGCAAGTGTCTGGTAACCACCAAGAAGTCATTTCATTTTTTGTTTTTCCCTCTCCTCAGTTTCCAGTCGTCTTAGGACATGAATGGCTTAGCATGCACAACCCCCACATCGATTGGAAGACTGGTCAAGTTGCTGCCTGGAGTCCTTACTGCTTGTCCCACTGTTTGTTGTCCGCTAGCCTTCCGGTCCAGGTTCCTGCTTCCAGTCCTCCACCCATTCCGGACCTTTCTTCAGTGCCATCAGAATATCATGACCTACAAGCAGTTTTCAGCAAAGATCGAGCTGCATCCTTACCTCCCCATCGTCCATATGATTGCAGTATCGACCTGCTTCCTGATGCCACATTCCCATCCAGCAGGTTGTACAGTCTTTCTAAAGCGGAACATGAATGCATGACAACATACATCTCTGAGTCCTTAGCATCAGGTCTGATTCGTCCATCCACTTCTCCCTTGGGCGCAGGGTTCTTCTTTGTTTCAAAGAAAGATGGTTCCCTGCGTCCTTGTATCGACTATCGAGGGTTAAATCAAATAACAGTCAAGAACAAATATCCTCTGCCTCTGCTTTCCTCCACCTTTGACCCTGTACAGAATGCAACCATCTTCACCAAATTGGATCTCCGCAACGCTTATCATCTTGTAAGGATCAAGGAGGGTGACGAGTGGAAAACGGCCTTCAAGACACCTTTGGGCCACTACGAGTACCTCGTCATGCCTTTTGGCCTGACTAATGCTCCCGCAGTGTTCCAGTCCCTGGTAAACTCCGTACTCTCTGACTATATCAATTCATTTGTCACTGTATACCTCGACGACATTCTGATTTTTTCCAGTACCCTTTCCGAACACCATCAACATGTCCGTGCTGTTCTACAACGCCTTCTGGAGAACCGCCTTTTCGTCAAGGCTGAAAAATGCGAATTCCACGTTTCCTCAGTGAAATTTCTGGGATTTGTTCTGGAGAAGGGAAAGCTGAGAACAGACCCAGAAAAGGTTGAAGCTGTCCGTGACTGGCCAACTCCCACTACCCGTAAACAGCTTCAACGTTTCCTCGGGTTTGCAAATTTTTATCGGCGCTTTATTCGTGGCTACAGCCAGGTGGCATCTCCCTTGACGCAGTTGACTTCTGTTAAAAGAGCCTTTGTGTGGTCAGCTAACGCTGAAGAGGCTTTTCAGGAGTTAAAGAGACGTTTCACTCAAGCTCCTGTTTTGGTTCGCCCTGATCCGTCTTTTCAGTTCACCATGGAAGTCGACGCCTCAGATTCTGGCGTTGGTGCTGTCCTATCTCAAATGTCACCTTCAGATAATCTATTACATCCCTGTGCTTTCTTTTCAAAGAAACTCTCTCAGGCGGAGCAAAACTATGATGTGGGAGACTGAGAGCTGCTAGCCATCAAATTGGCTCTGGAAGAGTGGCGCCATTGGCTTGAAGGTTCCGAGCATCCCATCATTATCTGGACAGACCATAAAAACCTTGCTTACCTGAAAGAGGCCAAGAGGTTAAACCCCAGACAGTCCCGGTGGTCCTTGTTCTTCACACGCTTCAATTTCATCATTTCCTACACCCCCGGATCAAAGAATGTCAAACCAGATGCTCTATCCCGCCAGTACGCTTCAGACAGAGACCTCGAACCCGCCACTATCCTTCCTCCATCTTGTGTTGTAGGAGCTGTTTCCTGGGACATCACCAACAAAGTTCTGGATGCCCAACGCACTGATCCTGACCCAGGTAATGGTCCCCCCAATAAACTGTTTGTGCCTCAACAGGTTCGAGGAGCAGTGATCCACTGGGCACATACTGCCAAGTTTTCCGTTCACCCTGGAATTGGTCGCACTCTCGCCCTGATCCGCAGGTCATTCTGGTGGCCCTCCATGTTTAATGACACTAAAGAGTACATCAACGCCCGCCATGTCTGTGCACGGAATAAAACCACCAATCAACCCCTGGCAGGACTGTTAAATCCTCTCCCCATTCCATCTCGCCCATGGTCGCATATAGCAGTGGACTTCGTTACTGGCCTACCCCTCTCCAAAGGTTTTTCTGCAATTCTCACTATAATCGATAGATTTTCAAAAGCCTGTCATTTTGTTCCAGTGAAATCCCTTCCATCATCCACTGAAACCGCTAACCTCCTCATAACCCATGTTTTCAGGCTTCATGGCATCCCATCGGAGATCTTGTCAGATCGCGGCCCCCAATTCCTCTCCAGGGTCTGGAAGGAGTTTGCCACCTTATTGGGGGCCCGTGTTTCCCTGAGTTCTGGTTACCACCCCCAAACTAACGGTCAGTGCGAGCGGCTCAATCAGGAGTTGGAGGCTATGCTCAGATGTGTCTGCTCTTCAAACCCTACCAGCTGGAGCACCCAACTACCATGGATCGAGTACGCGCACAACTCCCACGTTTCCACTGCAACCAGTAAGTCCCCGTTTGAATCATCCCTTGGTTAACAACCTCCCCTGTTCCCTTCGGATCTATCCTCCTCTGTCACAGTCCCTCAGTATATCCGCCGGGCAAGGAGGACATGGATCCAAACCCTGGCGGCCCTTCAGCGCACCAAGGAGCGCAACCAACGGCTGGCAGATCGGCACCACAGACCCGCGCCCGTGTACAGTCCAGGTCAACAGGTCTGGCTGTCAACCAAAGATATTGGTCTCAAGGGTACAACTAGGAAACTTTCACCTCGCTTCATTGGCCCATATCCCATTCAGGAGGTTCTCAGTCCCTGTTCTGTCCGTCTTGTCCTGCCCCCGTCGATGAAGATCCACCCTGTCTTTCATGTATCCCTCCTAAAACCTGTCTCGTCCAGTCCGTTGTGTCCTGTTCCTGCTCCCCCTTCTCCTATTCGTCTCACTGATGGTGGACTTGGCTTTCGTGTTCGGTGCCTGCTGGACATCAGGCCCAGGGGCCGGGGGGCGTCAGTTCTTGGTGGACTGGGAGGGTTATGGTCCAGAACATGGCCAGTGGGTCCCCAGTTCCTGGATTGAGGATCCTTCTCTCATCAGAGACTTTGACGCCGCTCGGTCTTCTGCTGCTGCCTCCTCCTCCGCCTCCTCCTCCTCTGCGCGGCCGCCGGGTGTCGGCCTTTGAGGGGGGGGGTACTGTCATGATCTGTGCTGCATAACCATCTCTGCTGAGTGTTTTACAGGTGGGTGTGTCTGGAGAGCCCAGCTGTGCCAAATCAGCTCATCAGCGATCAGGGGATTTAAGGAGCAGCTGGACATCTCACCATTGCCAGATGATACTCAGTCTTGGGTAGTTTCTAGCTCTCCTTTTGACCGTCCTAAAACAATTTTAGAATTACTTTGTCTATTTGTTCCTGCCCTTCTGGCAGTTAACCTGCTCTGCCCTCCTGATTCCTCCAGGTTCCAGTCATCTGTTCATCTCCACTCTCTGCTATATCTTTGGAACCATCTACCACATTCCAGTCCTGCTGTTTGCCCCTGATCGCCAGCTCTCCATCACCCCACCTATCCACCTGCAGCTCCTCGGTCTCCCCATCCAGCCAGGTCTGACTAACCCCCCCCCCCCCACAAAATACCGGATCATTCAGGAAACAGTAAGCCTTCTTATTTTTTCATCATCGTCTCACGTTGCTCCAGACTCTGACCTCTCTTCCTCTCTCAGACCCCACGGATCCCTCCAGTCCTGCAGAAGCTTCGGCTACCTCTCCCATTCAAAATAAATCATTTAAACTTACCTTCTGTCTCTCGGTGGTGATTCTTCATGTCGTGGGTCAAGAAATTACCCTCAAACATGACATGAGGTAGACAAGCAGATAGCGTCTGATGCCTTTTTGATAAGAATCAACCTCATAGCTTAACGCAAACCAAATTCTTTCCCTTTTACATCCAGAACTCAGTTCTTCTAGGTACGAAAGTTCTGATAAAATCATATTCACACATAGGCACCATACATTACATTCCATCCGCCTAGATCCATCCATCACAGTAAATATTTGTTAACTTGTCACGTTTTTAATTGTTTGTAAAATAAATTCTTATTTTTATAAACCTGACTCTGTCCTGAATCAAGACGAAGTGTTCTACAATCCCTGAATAAACAAAGAATCCTAGAATCTTCTGATTAAACATCCAAAGACCAAGCAGGTTGATATTCTATATTTATATAGAGTATCACAGCTTATTGGTCATAAGTAGAGGTAATATATTAAGCTCTTAAATATGAGGAAGCACTACATTTACCAACTCCTAGGTTACTAGATGTTGTTACCTGATGTTGTTACTAGATGTTGTTACCTGATGTTGTTACTAGATGTTGTTACCTGATGTTGTTAATTGATGTTGTTACCTAATGTTGTTACTAGATGTTGTTACTTGATGTTGTTACCTGATGTTGTTACTAGATGTTGTTACTAGATGTTGTTACTAGATGTTTTTACTAGATGTTGTTACTTGATGTTTTTACTTGATGTTGTTACCTGATGTATTTACTAGATTTTGTTACTAGATGTTGTTACTTGATGTTACCTGATGTTGTTACCTGATGTTGTTACTCGATGTTGTTACCTGATGTTGTTACTAGATGTTGTTACTAGATGTTGTTACTAGATGTTTTACTAGATGTTGTTACTTGATGTTTTTACTTGATGTTGTTACTTGATGTTGTTACCTGATGTATTTACTAGATTTTGTTTCTAGATGTTGTTACTTGATGTTACCTGATGTTGTTACCTGATGTTGTTACTCGATGTTGTTACCTGATGTTGTTACCTGATGTTCTTACTAGATGTTGTTACCTGATGTTGTTACCTGATGCTGTTACTAGATGTTGTTACCTGATGTTGCTACTAGATGTTGTTACTTGATGTTGTTACCTGAGGTTGTTACTAGATGTTGTTACCTGATGTAGTTACTAGAATTTGTTACTAGATGTTCTTACTTGATGTTGTTACCTGATGTTATTAGATGTTGTTACTTGATGTTGTTACCTGAGGTTGTTACTAGATGTTGTTACCTGATGTAGTTACTAGAATTTGTTACTAGATGTTCTTACTTGATGTTGTTACCTAATGTATTTACTAGATTTTGTTACTAGATGTTGTTACTTGATGTTACCTGATGTTGTTACCTGATGATGTTACTCGATGTTGTTACCTGATGTTGTTACCTGATGTTGTTACTCGATGTTGTTACCTGATGTTGTTACCTGATGTTGTTACCTGATGTTCTTACTAGATGTTGTTACCTGATGTTGTTACTAGATGTTGTTACCTGATGTTGCTACTAGATGTTGTTACTTGATGTTGTTACCTGAGGTTGTTACTAGATGTTGTTACCTGATGTAGTTACTAGAATTTGTTACTAGATGTTCTTACTTGATGTTGTTACCTGATGTTGTTATTAGATGTTGTTACTATATGTTGTTACCTGATGTTGTTACCTGGTGTATTTACTAGATTTTGTTACAAGCTGCTCATTTTTATGCACAGTGTAGAAGTAAAATGATACGCGATCACAGAGGCTCTGGTACCATTAAAAAGATTAACCCAAATGTTAACTCACTGGTGCAGTCAAAGTATGAACTAGACAGAGACATGGACAAATATTTTTGGCACTTTCATTCAGAACCTCATACTGTTATACATGAATAATGCACAGTGGTTTTAAGCGCACTCACAAACTTCTATAGCAAGGCAATGGTGGTTGATGATGAGTTTGGAATAGTATCCACTGGAATTCTCCACTTTACCAGTTAATAGCCTTTAGTCATTTATAAACAGTGTTTATTCCCAGCATCAGTTTTTGGTTTACTGCAGCTGCTGTGCTGTGGCGCCTATGTCAGCCTTGTGTGTAACTCAGAATCACCATTGACACTAAGAGGGAGCATGTTTGCTTACCCGTCATATACAACAGACACAGGTGTCACCATAGGCGTAATTTTAACCGGGGATGCCGGGGACATGTCCCCGGCAAAATTTGTGATTGGCAGCTGTGTCCCCCCCACTTTCAAAAAAGCCTGCTGATGAGGATTTTTGTTTTACCAGCTCAGATCTTATACCTGGGGTCGGCAACCTGTTCCCATCAAAGAGCCATTATTACCCGTTTCCCACAGTAAAGAAAACACCGCAGTAGCCACGGCGTTGTGGGCGGGGCCTACCCTCAGACAGCAGAGAGCTGCTCACAACCAGGTGACAGCAGCAGGTACCGGTCGCTTGCATGGACATCGCACCCATGGGGGATTCAACACCAGAGCCGGATTAACGCAAAGGCAAAGTAGGCACGTGCCTAGGGCCTGATTGGCTGGATGGGGCCCAGACAGAGGAACAAAATTATAAATAAATAAATTAAAAATTAAATGTACACATGTCCTATGATAGAATTTGTAGCTAGGACTCCTATCTACAATTTGTTTCAATATTTATTAATTAACTAAAAATAGTGACAATGTTTATCTTAACCATAGACCGTTTCATTGGCTACGTCACACCTCTGGGGTCCACGGACGAGTATACGCGTCTTTTGAACAGGTCTGATTTGGGACGCTGTAGCAGCAAGACTCCGCCTCCCTGAGTTTCGGTTTCAATTCAGCTTTAAAAAGCAGATTATAAACTACACCCCAGTTTTTAAATTTTGTTAATAGGCAACGTAAAAGCGGAGTTATACTAAACTAAAAAATGACCTATTTTTAGACAATCTGATAACTTGTCAAAACAGCGGTTTAGTAATCTGTGAGCGGGAATGTGCTTGTGAACATTAAAAACCCACAAAAACACGAGATCCTTTTGCTGTTGGTGGACGTCTCACATATTCAGCTGATAAAAAGTATCACACGAGTAACGAGATATGCGCAAAAAGGAGCCGCTTCGCGGGGAAAGGAGTGGCGCGAACGGAGTAACAACAAACAATTAGACAGATATTGACGGTAAACTTTGTATTTTGGAGCGATCCGGACAGATATATTGTCTCTGCAGTTTAGTAGGCATTTATTAGGCTTTAATAAAGGATGATGAGAAGGATAAATGTCCACCAGGCAGTTCAGATAGTACGGCTGTTTTTTGAACTGGAAGCAGAGGAAGTGGACGGAGACTCGCAGCCGGAGTCTGAGGCAAATAGCGAGGATGTTGAGGATGTGGCAGATCCATCCTTCCTCATAGAAGAGTTGGGTCATGATGAGGTAGAGGATGAAGGCAGAGATCCAGCTCCTCGGAGATCCATCAAGAGGAGTGGGCGGCGCCGCGCAGCTGTCAGATCTCGGCGTGAGACGGAGCCACTCCCCACTCCAAAATCCATGTACATTATTGCCAAATTAATAAAATAAGTATAAATTCAGATAGTCCAGGTTGACTTGAAATTAATGATACCCCATAAGGCAATATTTATTGTTTTTATTAGAAAATACAAAAGAAAAACCAAAATGAGTCAAAAACGGTGATTTACACTCTGGATCCCAGCTAATAACTTTTTAAATTAGTTATTTGCTATATTTAGTCATATTTTTTATAAATGTACAGTCTAGATTACCAGTCTAAATGATAAAAAACATTTGTCATAAATGTTTGTTGGTTTCACAGTAAAATAAACAACTTTTTTCCTATTCAGATTTTATGTTTTTGAGTGATTTAAGGTCTAATACGCAACCCCTTTATGTCCAAATATACAAAATAAGTATAGATTCATAAAGTCCAGGTTGTGCTGAAAAGATTGATACCACATAAGGCAGTGGTTATGGTTTTTATTTTGGAAATACAAAGGAAAACTCACTGCAAATTACACCCTGGACCCCAGAGGGTTAAGGCGCCACCCAATGAAGGACGTCAGAGAAGCGGTCAGAGTTAGAGCGGGACACAACAAAGCTAGCAGGTGTTTTTGAGTAGGCTAACTTTCACGATGCTTTCGGGTGCGGCAAAACGTAAAAAAGAAAAATATTTAAATGAAGAGGAACTAAAGAAGAGACAGCGGGGGGCTTTACAGAAGTTTCTGTCGGGCTGCTCGGGCAGCCGTCCGACAGCTGTGAACATGCTCGAGTCAGCAGAGCCAGAGGCCGGGCCCAAGTCAGACCCGGAGGAGACACAACCCGAAGACGCGGTGGAAGATGTGGCGGAAGATGCTGTAGCGCCAACGCCGTCAACATCAACGCCTTCACAGAAGGACAAACTGGAAGAACAGCAGCCAGCCAGAAGTGAGCCCAATATAGTCTTACAGGAGCCCCTAGACCCAGACAGGGTATTAACAACTACCCATCTGATCCTGCAAAGTGGTACCAAACTGATGAGTACTTTGCACTAAACTATCCCTCTCAAAATATTGGATATTCTTCTGCATCACAGAGGAAATCTGGAGACATAGACTGAAGCTTAACCAAGGAACATTTCTTTAGACGTGTTTCTGCTGTGATTGAGGCCCTGTGATGCTGGAAGGCTGAAGATTATCCCGGAGTAGAGAATGCTAAATGGTTTCCTTGGTAAGTGTTGCTGGTTTTATTAATTATTTGTCAAATAATTTTATTAATGTTCAAGTAGCAAAACAATAAGTTCACACTCAGAAAATTGACAGAATTTCTGATTCAGCAGAGGCAACAGCCTACAACACATGACTTATTTTGGCATACAAACAACCAATTTGTAACCAAAAACTAGGCTATGTAAAATGTGAATGAACTTTTATAAGTAAATTTGGTAAGTTTCAGATTTCAATTCATTACATAACATCGATGGAGGGGGGGCCCTAAAAATGCAG